ATATACAGGTACAATACTGTTTACAGTGATATATACAGGTACAATACTGTTTACAGTAATATGTACAGGTACAATACTGTTTACAGTGATATATACAGGTAAAATACTGTATACAGTGATATATACAGGTACAATACTGTTTACAGGTATAATGAAAGATTTGACCCAAAGTTTCAGGTTTGAGTCCGGTATATACTAATTATAAATCTTAAAAGAGGTTTTACCTGAACTATTTTTTCATGTAATTCCTTGCTTTCAACTCCTTCGGGAGAATCTTTAATATCCACCACGGCGTAGATATTCACCTTGTACTGTACACCAAACACCAAACCCTGTACAGTGTACATAATTAGTTAGTTTCTTATTCTTATATAATGTACACCGAATACCAGACCCTGCACAGTGTACATAAAAAATTCATTTCTTATTCTCCTTGTACTGTACACCAAACACCAGACCCTGTACACTGTACAGTGTACATAAAAAATTCATTTCTTATTCTCCTTGTACTGTACAACAAACACCAGACCCTATACAGTGCAAAGAATTATAATTTAAAGATAGTTATTCAGAGGTGTACGCATTTTTAGTGCTGCAGTGTACTGTCTCTGGGCGGTAAAGTAAACACAAGACGGATGTTACAGCCTGACTTGGAAACCATCTTTTACATAAAAAATCAATGAAGTATTCTGGTCATAGGAACCTATTATGTGAATTATCAAATTATCAAAATTAAATGTGTTATCCTCCTAGGATACTAGAGTAATACTGAAGCATCTATTCTTGTTTACAAACACCCAGAACCCAAAACTTAAGACAGTGTATCGTTATAAAAACCAGTTTTAAAACCCGGGTTTCACGAATGGGGTTAGGCATTTTTGTGAATAGCAATATTTTTGTAATGTAATATTATTTTTTTTCAGTTTCTTTATATTTTCCATTTTTTTCGAATCTCTTAAATCAAAATCTACGTAAATGTTTAGACCTCAAAAAAGGAAACTCGGGAGTTTCGTCCAACGATACTCTTTTGAATTTCGGGCTCAGAAAGAAATGGTTTCAATATGTACACAGAGAATACGCAACAGCAATTAACTTTTCTTCCCTTATTACCTTGATACAGTGTACATATTAATAAGTTTCTTATTCTCCTTGTACTGTACACAATACCCTGTACAGTGTACATATTGGCAAGAGCCCGAAATTTAAAAGAGTATCGTTGAACGAAACTCCTGAGTTTCCTTTTTGGGATCCTAACATTTGTGTAGATTTTGATTTAAGAGATTCGAAAAAAATAAAGATTATAAACAAACTGAAAAAAAATATTTCATTACAAAAATATTGATATTCACAAAACTGCCTACCCCCATTCGTGATACCCGGGTTTAAAAACTGGTTTTCATAACGATACCCTGTCTTAAGTTTTGGGCTAAGGAGAATTGAATACAAGGAGGGGGCAATAGGGTTTCCGTACACTTTGCTGTGACGTTTTTGGGCTGCTGGAGAACTAATTTTTGCGTAACAACAATAATAAAGGCAGCTGATCTAATGTAAACAAACATGAGTTAGTATACGGTGAATCTTCATCTAACCCCTGAAATGCACCAAATGTCTGTTTATCATTTGTGTTATTGTTTACAATCTTTATTATTTTTGTTAAGCAAAAACTAGTTCTCCAGCAGCCCAAAAACGTCACAGCAAAGTGTACGGAAACCCTATTGCCCCCTCCTTTTATTCAATTCTCCTTGCATATTGGTAAGTTTCTTATTCTCCTTGTACTGTTCATTAAACACTTGACCCTGTACAGTGTACATAGTTATTTAGTATCTTATTCTCCTAGTGTACTGTACGCCAATCTTGTACATATGTACCCGTTAAATTAACCATACTATTAATACTTATCTCCTAAACATTGTACATATTCTACTGCTATTGTTCGACCACACTGTCTGTTTATGATGGTGCAAAACTGATTTCAGGATTCATCTCTAATTGGATGATGAGATAGATAAATAGATATATGTTACCATGCCGTTGCAATTTTTATTGGTTCAAAATCGTCACCAAGCACGTGACTGAACCCTGATTGGATCAGGCGCTTCCGGAAAGATGAAGCAACGGTGAATTCTAAGCCTACTATTGTTATCAACCTTCTTGGCATCCTTTTTATTATCATTGCCACTAATCCTGTTTCTAATGAAAAGAAAATTATGAAAATATTTTAAATCTAATTTCATCTTAATCTTCAATTACCAAAACTAGACAATAGAGAGGACTACTATTCTCACGGATTAGTGCTTCTGATACGCACAAACTAATTTCTAAACCTACTACGCCTTAATTCTTTTATATTCATACTTATAGAAATCTAGCACTTGTTCTATTCCTGCTACTAAACCCACCACTACTTCTATTCCTATTTATAACCCTACCATCCTCCAATCCTCCCATTCCCCTCTCTGCTTATCCTTTTCTCCTCCTATTCTCCTATCCTACTATTATTTTCTCCTCCTATTCTCCTATCCTACCATCCTCCTATCCTCCTATCCTCCTATCCTGTCCTTCTATCAATGTATCCTTCTGTCCTCCTATCCTCCTATTCTGTCCTTCTATCAATGTATCCTTCTGTCCTCCTATCCTCCTATCATGTCCTTCCATCAATGTATCCTCCTATCCTCCTATCCTCCTATCCTGTCCTTCTATCAATGTATCCTCCTATCCTCCTATCCTCCTATCCTGTCCTTCTATCAATGTATCCTCCTATCCTCCTATCCTGTCCTTCTATCACTGTCCTTCTATCAATGTATCCTCCTATCCTCCTATCCTCCTATCCTGTCCTTCTATCAATGTATCCTCCTATCCTCCTATCCTGTCCTTCTATCAATGTATCCTCCTATTCTCCTCAGAAAAACAGTACCTCTAGAAGACAGGAGCAGGGTTCAACTCCTTCCTCCGGTGGAATAAGAATTTCCTCTGATTTTGAACCTTCCTCCGCACTCTTAAATCTCAGTTTATATACACTAAAATAAGCATTTGATAAATACAGTAAGATGTTTTAAACTAAGTAAGAAGAGAAAAAAATCCAAATTCTGTCGCGAACTTGCAAATAACCCCTTAAATTCTAAAGCTGAAAACCAATGTTGTAAAGCATTGAAATCTTGTTATGTATAGCTACATAAACTGTAAGGGTTTGGAAAGGCCTATAGTAACACTTAAAAATCGACCCTTCATTAAATTTCTTCCGTTATTTGAAATCCCATATCTTAATACAATATTTAAGAGGTTTCAAGGGAAACATAAAAGGAAAATAAAGTACTTGAGAACAAATATAAATGAAACTGTGTGATGTAATTTTAAGTGTCATTCTCATTATCATTAAGATACTCTTTAAATCTTTGTCTGAAAATAAAATGATGAAGCTAATCCGATTTTTCTATCTAAAAATTGATTATTTTCAATTCATATTTTTTCAAGATATGATCAGCCCCCGACCTGATATGAGGAGTAGGAGATTTAGTCCACGTGATCTGGTTCCAGCCTGGACCTAGTTTCAGGTTGGACGGAGGGAGAGGTTTCGTAACAAAGCTTTCGGTCAAACCTTCAGATACAACCTGAAATAAAAACCATGATCAAGGCTATTCTAAACTATAAATACTACCGAGTGTCCCCAAAAAAATTTAGTTGAGAGACGGCTTGAACAACATCGAACTTTGAAATCTTGAAAGCACTAAAATGACAGAGCTGAAATGCAAGAATTTTCTTCTAAAATTAGGTTGACGAATATATGCCGCAAATTCGTCTCTCGAATATCATGTATCGTTGGACACACTGTAGTTACTTTCATGAAAATTTAAAAAAAAAAACTTTTTTAATATTTCACCTCGTGGTCAGATCCTGTTGGTTGGACGCAGTACGTTACACAAACATTGTACGTTTCACCTGAACACGCCAAGTAGAACAAATATTTGAATTTTTACAATAGATCCATGTTTTGAAATGATAAGCTTATTTTTTAGACGGAAAATCACAGTTTAACTTAAAAAAGATCTAGGTTGCACAATGCACATTCAAAATTCCGTGAAAACTAAAGAAAAGAATAATGCAGTCAGCAATACCAGCAATTTTTAATTGAAGTAGAGCCATATCTTCTGAAATTAATTCAAGTTTAACTTCCAAGAGAAACGGTAAATCTCGAAAAAGATTAAAAGACAATTTAAAGAAACAGATTAAGAATATAAAAGATTTGACCTCTTTTATCAAAATAAATAACAAAATATTTTACAAATAAAATAAAACGTATTTTGTCTTTAAAAAAAATAAAAATATGAAGCTTCAACACCCTTATTTTAACACCAATATTAAGATTTAAATAATAATGCCACAAACTAAGATTTTCTAACCCCTATATTTTTGCAATCTATTATCGTGGACCTAGGATATTTCAAACTGTTAGATCAAATAATCTAAGTTTGAAATATCACCAGGTTAAAAATACCACCAGGTTACAAAGATATAGGTATTAGGAAATTTGAGGTTGTGTTAAAGACTATTCCTTTAAACATTTTTTAGTGTGTGAAATTATCCAAAAAAATTATAATTTAAAGAAAATAATAATATTATTAAAACAGAACCTGTTCCAACTATTTCTGGGAGTTTGGAGAAGTTAAATGTTCTCTTGTCCCCACCAACCTCGTAGGAGTTACTGTATCCTATAGACGGAGCCTGGAAAATATGGAAAATGCAAAATGCAAAATTGATAAAAAGAATTCTAGTCTCTGGTTCTGACTTCTACATAATGGAAATTCTTGGCACTCTGTGGAGTGATAAATACTTTGATACGCTTGAGATTATTTTCAAGAAATCATTTCTGTAAATACTAAGGGAAAAAATATTTTGTCTTTCTGCAAATCAACTATTTAGCACCTCAATGTTCATTTCATCCAACCTATTTAACCGTCTGATTGAGTCTGGATCAAAAAAGCAAGTAATCTTTTGTCTGTATAAATGGATACAAAAAGAATGATTCTTGATGCAAAGGATGTAAGGATAAAAATGATCAATTTTAGGGACTTTTCTCCAAGATAAATTAGACTAGACGTCGTCTTCGCCATACCGTAGTAGCTGTGTACTAGCTACGTCGATACAGTACATTGTTGCGGCAAGTATTGTTTATGCTCTGAACAAATGTATGGGGTGTTTTGTTAACATTTTTTTCTTTCTACAGATTGACCACGAGAAGTTAAACGTATTCATTGAAATCAACTCCAAACTGGAGAGTAGGAGAAGAAGGAATTCAACTCCAAACTAAACAGTAGAAGGTTAAAGGAATTCAATTCAAAACTAGAGAGTGGGAGAAGGTTAAAGGAATTCAACTCCAAACTAGACTGTAGGAGAAGGTTAAAGTTAAAAGTTAAATACATACGGTTGTAAATATTTCACTGTATTTCTGTTTATATCCTAGATTACCTGTATGGTCAGTTTAAACTTATGATTGGGCGCAGTAGCTACTGGTGCTTCCCATTTTACTTGGAAACTGTTACAGAACCTAGAAATATCAAGAATATACAACCTAGAAATATCATAGAGTATCAACTAGAAATATTATAAAAACAGAACCTAGAAATATGATAAATACAAAACCTAGAAATATCAAAACTATACAGCCTATATGATATATAAACATAACCCTGAAATATCATAAAGAAATAGAAATATTATAAGTACAGAAGTAAAATTTTCCTTTTCTTCATTCAAACGCTCTCTCTCTCACCTCTTCTAAATAATTAGTAGGAGAAGGTTAAAGGAATTCAACTCCAAACTAGACAGTAGGAGAAGGTTAAAGGAATTCAACTCCAAACTAGACTGTAGGAGAAGGTTGAAGGAATTCAACTCCAAACTAGACAGTAGGAGAAGTTTAAAGGAATTCAACTCCAAACTAGACAGTAGGAGAAGGTTAAAGGAATTCAACTCCAAACTAGACTGTAGGAGAAAGTTAAAGGAATTTAACTCCAAACTAGACTGTAGGAGAAGGTTAAAGTTAAATGTTAAATACATACGGTTGTAATCACTGTATTTCTGTTTATATCCTAGATTACCTGTATTGTCAGTTTAAACTTATGATTGGGCGCAGTAGCTACTGGTGCCTCCCATTTTACTTGGAAACTGTTACAGAACCTAAAAATATCAAGAATATACAACCTAGAAATATCATAGAGTATCAATTAGAAATATTCTAAAAACAGAACCTAGAAATATGATAAATACAAAACCTAGAAATATCAAAACTTTACAGCCTAGAAATATGATATATAAACATAACCCTCAAATATCATAAAGAAATAGAAATATTATAAACAGAACCTAGAAATATTATAATTGCAGAACCTGGAAGTATCATAAATACAGAATCTAGAAATTAATAAATACAAAACCTAGAAATATTATATTTACAGAACCAAGAAATATTAAAAATACAAAACCTATGAATATTAAAACTATACAGCCTATAAATATGATATAATTACAGAACCTAGAAATATTGTAAATACAGAACCTAGAAATATTATAAACATAGAACCTAGAGATATTATAAATACAAAACCTAGAAATATTATAATTACAGAACCTAGAAATATTACAAATACAAAACCTATAAATATTATAAATACAAAACCTAGAAATATTCAAAATGTACCACCTACAAATATCATCAATATTATAAATAAAGTTACTTAAAATAAAATTTATAAACAGAACCTATAGATATTGTTAATATAGAACCTATCAATATTATGAATACAGTGGCCGAATTAAAAGAATTTGAGCGGCGGTTTAAATTTCAACCGCGGCTTAAATATGGTTGGTTCCACTTGAAATTATATCAAATGTTTCAAGATTTAAGCCGGCGCTAATTTTAAACCGGGTTTTGGCAGATTTATACCGCGGCTCAAATTCTTTAAATTCCATCTCAGAACCTATAAATTTTATGAATTTAAAACCTAGAAACATTAAAAATACTGCAACTAGATATATTCAAAAAATGTTTTTATAAGAAGTGTGTTGTAGTCTCGGAGATAAAGGAATTGAGTATTTGTAACAAAATCGACTATTTAAACCCCAATATCTTTAGAACCCGATGTTGTAAACCTTTGATATTTTAAACTTTGATTATTTGATATAACAGAATTTGGTTCCATAGATATAGTGATTAGAAAATCAGAGTTTGTAGCAAAGACTCAATTCCTTTCTACAAAACTTAACTTGACTTGACCTGGAAAAGTATCGAGTCACTTATTTTGTACACATTGCTCTTAAAATCTGTAGTTTTCCTTGTTGTAAACAAAAATTTGGGCTTCCTGGGGTTTAATGAATAATCTTTGGTAAATATATTTTTTTTAATATTTTTCAAGCTTCTATCATTCTCTACCTGCTCTCTAGCTCTAGGTTCCTAGGAGGCAGGGGAATTGTGATAAACGAAATTTTCTCCTCTTCAGAAATTGTCTTCAGCTTCTCATAAACACAAACTGTTGTTATCGTTACATTAAATTCAGTAGCCGAGGGTAGGTTCTCAAACAGGAAGGAGTTGACCGGAGTACCAGATTTATGCTTAACTGCCAACTCCTTCTGAGATTTATTATCCTAGAAACAGAAGAACAAATTTGAAAAATTTAATATTTTCTTTCAACAAATATTTTCAATTTATATTCAGAATATCGAGAAATAGAAATTTAAAAGATTTTATTTTAGAAGAAACTATTAGAATAACATAATTTAAAATTTAAAATACGTTTTTCGGTTTAGTTTCACTTAAAAATCGCTAACATTCTCTTTAATTTGGTTGTTTTCCTACCTTAGAGGTGCAAAGTAGATTATACGCCTTCAACCTTGAATGTCCATCAGGGGCTACCCACTTCAACATTGCACTTCCTAAATTTTATTATTTGACCTGTTTGGATTTCCGAGACGGATACCGAGGCAACCTTCTCAGGTTTAGTGAGAACCGTCTCCGAGATGGGTTGTCTGGTCACACGATCCCCGGTCTTAATTCATGGATTAGAGAATTATTATATATTTGACATAAAAATTGTACGATATGATGTCAGAACTTTTGTGATATAAATCTCGGGATCTATCTTATGGATTAATTTAATTCCTCTGCAAATCCCGTGGTAGTCAAGCCCTGCAAGGATAACTAAGATGAAGGGATAAAGCATTTATCCTCAAATTTAAAAGTGTCCACATTGAAAATCAAGATTAACAGAAAATTAGCAAAAGTTATTAAATTATTAAAAAATTAGAATTGAAATTGTCTACTGGTTTTATTTCTGCATCAGAGTTGGCAACTTTTGAATTGATTGAACTAAATTAAATAGTTTTAGCTAGTTCAGCTGTTCTTATGTTCTAGAACGTCTGAGCTCGATATCCACAATAGAGACTTTTAATTCAAAGCGATTAAATTCCATTTTTTCGGCTTTTTTCCCCAGCATCGTTAGATAGATCCAACCAGAGTTATCTTAATCCAACCAGAGTTATCTTAATCCATCGATTCACAAAAGAAAAGGATTAGTGCTTTCTTAAGGGGTTAATAATACGTAAGTGTTGGCTTAGGGTCAGACTTAAATCTTACCTTGGTTTTCAGTCCTACTCCGTATATTTCTCCGGGAGAAAGGCCGGATATTGTAAAATTGTTAATTTTACTGCTGATCTCTCGTTCAGTAAACCCCTAACGGTTAAATATATAAACATTTATAAAACAAAAAAGGTTAAGGTCTTGAATAGGATTGGCCAGAAATTGCGAATTTTATTAAAAATTGTTCAATTTTACAAACGACTTAAAGGGAGTGTTCGCGAAAAATGAAAGAGGGTATAGGCTTAATGCGATAAAAAAGCGCTTTTGATCAATTTAATTCCAAACAAATCATTCAGATATTACAAACAATAGTCATCGATTATTTTTCGACACATTCGTAAATAGTTGATATTTCATAATATTTTGTATTTTTCACGATCTGAGAGTTTTGAAAACATTTATTCCTGTTTCGAGGATTTTTGATAATGAAGACGACATTTTCATATTTTCCAGGAATGTTCGAAAATCCAGCGCCAGCGAAAATCATGTGAAAAAAAATTAAAAGCCTATACCCCCTTTCATTTTTCGCGAACACTCCCTTAAACTAAATTCGAAAAGGTGCAAAAAATTTTATGAGAAATAAATAAACAAACTTTAATTGAAAGAAGATGTGTTGTGCAACAGTTCATCTCCATCTCCATAATGCTTTAACCATTAACACGTAATTTTAGACATCAAAAGCAATATTAAAACACTTGCCGATGTTTATAAATGTATTTTGATGGGAAAAAATATTTAAAATAGTTTCAATGTCTCAAATAATTCATTGTTTGATCATTTTTAAGGAAGAAGAAGTTTCAAACAAACTTAAAATGCTAAAATTGCTTTTTATGTCTCTTGCTTTTAAGGTAATAAAATTGTTAAAGTTTAAGGGGGATGAACCGTAACAAAGGGGATATGATCAAATACGTGACACCGAAAAGTGTTCAGGAGCACTCTGAATTCCTCTATGAATCAAAAGTTTTACTGTTTAGTAGCCGATCTCACCGTTGTCGCGGCTTTAGTCACATCCCCGAAAGAACCGTTCACATTGAAAGAACCTCTGAAAATTCATAATTTAATATTTTTACACATTCAACATCAAGTTCTGATGCGTATCAAATTGAATATAAAAAGAATACACCTTGATGTAACTTGAATTAAGTATTAAGTAGTTTCGGGAGTTAAAGTTTCTTAAAGTGCATTCATACATAATAAATCTATCTTTATCTTTTTTCTTTTATCTTTTATTTTATTTTTAACTCTTTATAAAACATATTCATTGGGGTTCTTTTATATATGTAAAATATCTAATTCTCTTCTCTTCATACTCGTCTTATTCGTCCTATCTGTCCTACACTTCCTACCCTCCTAACCGTCCTACCCCTCCTAACCGTCCTACCCATCCTAACCGTCCTACCCATCCTACCTGTCATCTCCGTCCTATCCGTCATCTCCGTCCTATCCGTCATCTCCGTCATATCCGTCATCTCCGTCTTACCCGTTCTATCCTTCTAACATTCATTCCGTCCTACCCTTCTTACTCTTCCAGTCCGTCCTACCCGTGATCTCCGAACCCAAAGAGTGGAGGAGCAGGAAGACCTAGTAGTCCTCCTGAGGCGTGCTGAACTAAACTTCCAATATTTGGATCAACTAAACACAAAGAGATATTATCATTTTCAATACAACCTATGAAACTGTCGAATAAAAAGACGACTGTCAGAATCAAGTTTTGATTTTAGATATTAATCCATTGAACTTTTAAAAACAGTAATTGTGCACTGTATTAAGACTGCATTTCACTCAAAAAGATAATGGTAAAACTTTTTGCTTTATTTGCTTTAAGATTTCTTGAAATTTCTTTTCATATTACCAAGTTTTTATGGATTTAATTTAAATTTCAAGGGAATAATAAAAATAAAAATAAAAATAAAAAATAAAATGGATAATATTTAAATTATGAACCCATTGATGGATGTCCCGGTAAATATTAACAGTTCATATTAATAAAGAAATCTGCCGTATCTATTTGTTTGTATCAAAATATCGTCAAAATGTCCAAACCTACTAGAACCAAAATGATTTGTTTTATGTTTGATAACAAACATAAAACAAATCTCCAATGAAAAAGGTAAATTTTAAGGATTCTAGTGTTATTGTTTAAAAGTGTAAAAGCTTTCAGATAAACAAAAACCAAATACTATCACTAGCAAGACAGGCGCGAAGGGCCCTTTAAAAATAATCTCCATTTTTCATTTCAATCTCAAATATATTTTTCACCTGAAAGAATATATTTTGTAAAATCTCCTTTAGGAGGTTCCCAGGATATTTCTATTTCATGAGTTCCAGAGGTTTTCAGCATTCCAGCTCTAAAATATATTTAGATATATTCCAGCTCTAAATATAAAAGAATATATTCCAGCATATATATATTATCTGCGTTTGTACCATACCCGGCGCGTCAATTATGAACTGTCAATGCTGTAATGTTAAACACGCCTACAACTCTACCTGCTAGATCAAAAAACCATGCGCTGTACTTGTCGTCTTCAATCGGATACTGGTTTTTACTCTTCAGCTTTGCTTTCTTACTCACGGTGTTCTTCGTATTCTCAGCTGGGAATATCGTGACGTCATACGAGTCCACGCGGATTTCCCGGTGCGCATGGTCTAAGAATAAAAAGTTAAAAATTCCGTCTGAAATTCTTGCGCGCAACAAGGAATGGATTGGTCAGGATTAAAAATGTTAATGTAAGAACGTTGTACTATTTAAAACCAGAAAATCTTCAAAACTTTTGATTTCAAGTTTTTAAGTGTACAAAGAAGGATGACCATAGAAATTACAATTAAGTCTGTATCATCACCGGCCTAGTCACATCTACAATGCACACAGCAAATATTTGTTGACAGTTAGCAAAACTGTGTATACGCTTCCACCCAAAAACATATCATACATTTTCAAATTAATTCCATTAATTCTGTGGCCAAAAGCTTGCCCTTGGTAGATCTACAAAAAAAGGGTTATTTCGTTAGTATAAAGTAAAAAAGGCCCAGGCGTTGCGACATATCAAAGTTGAAATGGTCATGAAAGTTGATGCATAATTTTCATAGCTGACTACGTATCTCTGTGCAGTGCGTTATCAACTGACCTATCAACCATTTCTCTATTCCTGCCGGAGCCCAAACTATCTTCAGTTTATCCTCTTCTACCTTGATGTGCTCAGAGTCGATCTTAATTCTAGAAATCGATCAGGTAAATATCATATATCAAAAAAATTAAGATTATTTTGTCATTTTTGATTTACAAATAATTTACAATTGAGGAGACTGTACTGTGAGGGTATAACTTCAAGTGCCCCTCAATGCAAAGATCAATATTTATAATTTTAAAACTAATTAGTATCAATTGTGGTTTCTCCACGAAAGTGATTTGCGCATTTCTATTACAGAAAAACGTTTTGGTATTATCAGAATTAAACACCTTTAAACCTAGAAAAGCGATCGATCAGATAAAGTTTTCAAGGTAACAGTTATGAATCAGGCATTGCCATTTTTTCCTGAAATTGAAGGCTCACTTAAATTAAGCTTACATCCCTTAAAGCTCGAGAGTCTAATGTTTGAGTTTATACTTCAATCTGAATTCAAACGTAAAAGAATACTAAGTTTTTTAAGCAATAGAAGCAGCGAAATTTATTATTCATACTTCTATTAAATGTTAATTAAATGTTAATTACTGAGTCGAAATTGCTTGTAAAAACTCACGTAAAAACTACATTCGTAAATTGGGGTTTGCGTAAATTTTAGCTTAAATCGTGAACAGAATCGCATAAAATTCGTCTTTTAGTGAGATTATAAAGGAATGCGCCTGCGAAGCATTTAAATTATAATAATTATAATAACACTGATTTCTTTTACTTCAGGGGATATTAGTTCCAAAACTAACTCTTGACCCATTTCTAACACTGAGTGTTAGAAATGGGCCAAATCTGCATTAAGTTATCTTTTTCAAGAGTATATATCTTTAAATCCAAGACAATTACCGGATTTCAGCTCATGTCGCGTTTTCGGAATATATCCTGGTTTTCAGACAATTACCGGAATTCATATCAATGTCAATTTTGAAGTATTTACGCACTTATGAAACAAAACAAGATTTTTTGATAAGGTAAAATATTAACAAAATAGGAAATAAAAACATACTGTTTTTTTTATAATTTAAAAATCATTACAGCATTTAGAAATCAATATCATATGTTCTTATAAAATAGATTTAACAAGAAATGCGGGAAACTGTTTGTTTAAAATGATCAAAAA